CCCACCCCACCCCCCGCTCACCCACTGCCCCTGTCTTCCCCCAGATCGACCAGGATGGGCTGACGCTGCCCGAACGGACCCTCTACCTGGGGCAGGACGAGGAGAGCGAGAAGGTGAGGGGAGTGGTCACACTGACGCCATGGGGACATGAGGAGGGGGACCAGCACCCGGCAGGGGAGGCAGATGGAGGGCACCCTGCTGTCTGCAGGGCTGGGGTCAGGGTGCCTGCGGGGCGGTGCAGGGTGGCACTCAGCATCCCTTCCCTCGACACAGATCCTGGCCGCATACAGGGTGTTCATGGAGCGGCTGCTCACCCTCCTGGGGGCCGAGCACGTGGAGCAGAAGGCCCAGGAAATCCTGCAGCTGGAGCAGCACCTTGCCAATGTGAGGGGGATGCCCGCCCTGGGCTTTGGGGTGCCCCTGCCCAGCCCTTGGGCACCCCAGTCACAGATCTTTGAGGACGTGGCAGGTCCTCAGGCTCCCCAGCTCCAACATCTTGAGAACCCCCCGTCCCAGATCTTGGGACAACCATTCCGGCCCTTGGAGATCGCCATGTCCAATCCTTGTGAACCCACTCCAGGGCCTTGATGACTCCATGCCCAGCTCTTGGGCACCCCAGTCTCAGCCCTCGGGAACCCCTGTGTCCAGCCCTCGGGTACTCTTAACTCCTTGGGGACCCCATGACCATCCTTCGGGGCCCCACTGGCAGCAGAGGGTTCCCAGGGCAAGAGGCTGGAAGGGATGTGGGTCAGTATCCCCTCTTGCCCCATCCCTGTGCCACCCCCAAAGCTGGCAGCGGGGTGGTGACAGCCCTGCACACCCCATGCAGATCACAGTGTCCGAGTACGATGACATGCGGAGGGACGTCAGCAGCATGTACCACAAAGTGACCCTGGGCGAGCTGCAGCGCATCACCCCCACGGTGAGCATCCCCCGTGCCCAGCCTGCCACCCCACGTCCCCCATCTGCCCTGTGCCCCACACTAGTCCTTGTCCCCCTGCTCCATGCCCTTGCTGCCCCCCCAGGTAAGTCCACTTGAGGATGTTGAATCCACCCTGCACTTTTCTGGGTGGGAAAGGGTGGTGGGACGCTGGAAAGCCTGGAGGGGGTTCCCTCCACGGTGGCATGGAGAGGGGTCTCTGTGCCCCCCACCAACGAGGCCCGCCCTGGCAGCTCAAGTGGAAGCGCTTGCTGGACCGCATCTTCCACGACAACTTCTCGGAGGAGGAGGAGGTGGTGCTGCTGGCCACCGACTACATGCATAAGGTGTCCGACCTCATCCGCGTGACGCCAAGCAGGTGAGGGGGGCTGGCACCCCCTGTGCCCCAGCTCCTTCCCCAGCCCGGCAGGGGGTTGGCAATGGGGGTGGGCACAGGTTGGCTATGACGGGTCCTCCCCTCATCACCCCCATCCTGGGGAGGCCACACTGGTTACGGAGACCCCAGGAAAGCTCCTGGTAGAAGGTACTGTTGTGAGCCCCACAGCACCCCGGCCATGCCCAGCCACCCGCTGAGCCCTTCGATGCTAGAGGCCACCAGACTCATCACACAGCAGGGAGGAACAGGGTGCCAGCCCGTCCCCATGCCACCCCCATGTCCAGCCTGGTCCCCGAGCAGGGGTGTCCCCACCCTGGCACACACACCCCATCCTGCCTGTGTGCCTTGGGGACTTGCCCAGCAGGGGGGTGCCTGATCTTGCCACCCCATCGCCAGGATCCTCCACAACTACATGCTGTGGCGCATTGTGGTGGTGCTGAGCGAGCACCTCTCCACCCCCTTCCGCGATGCCATCCACGAGCTCTCCAAGGAGATGGAGGGCAACGAGAAGCAGCTCGAGCTGGGCAAGATCTGTTTGAGCCAGGCCAACAAGCACTTTGGCATGGCCCTGGGTGCTCTCTTTGTTGAGGAGCACTTCTCCTCTGCCAGCAAAGCCAAGGTAGGTGATGCTGCCTGTGGGCACAAAGCCACCGCATCCCTTCCGTCACCTTGCCAAGGTGCATACTGCCACCCAGCACCCCACTGAGGGCTGTCTGGCAGGGTGACAGGTGGCGAGGATGCAGTGCCAGAGCCTGTGGTGACCCACCATAGGTGCAGCAGCTGGTGGAGGACATCAAATACATCCTGGACCAGCGCCTGGATGAGCTGGACTGGATGGATGAGGAGACACGGAGAGCGGCCAGGGCCAAGGTAGCACCTGCAGCATGGACCCCTGTCCTTGCCCCCACCATGGCCCGGGGGCATGCAGGATGGGGGCCTGACCCCACCACTGACACCCACCCACTTTGCCCGCAGCTCCGGTACATGATGGTGATGATCGGGTACCCCGATTTCCTG